GTTAGGTTGGTTTGGTTTGGGTTTGTTTGCCTTGCTTTGGTTTGGGTTGGGTTTGGTTTGGGTTGGTTTGCTTTAGTTTACTTTGCTTTGGGTTGGGTTTGGTTTGGGTTGGTTTGCCTTGCTTTGCTTTGCTTTGCTTTGCTTTGGGTTTGGTTTGGTTTGGGTTGGTTTGCTTTGGGTTGGGTTAGGTAGGTTTGGTTTGGTTTGCTTTGGTTTACTTTGCTTCGGTTATTCGGGTGGATCTTTACGCCGGTCCTCAGGTCAAAAAGCAGAGGACTATCTTCCCACCCTTCCCGGTCTTAAAGCGTCTCTGTTTGTCGACATGAATAATCTGTTGCCGTTAGTACAATTTCTTCTTCAAGTGTCTGTCTTATGATTTCTTCATTTATTTATTTATTTATTTTGCATTTTCTTTTTTGTTTGGCAGCTTTCGGCGGGGACAGCGACAATATCACCATCTTTGGTGAAAGTGCTGGATCTGCTAGTGTCCATTTCCACATTCTATCTGCACACTCGAAAGGTCTGTTCAACCGAGGGGTAATGCAGGTAATAGTGAATTGCTCTTTGCTGAAAGCACGACTGTGCCTTCCCTTGCTTAAAACGGGTTTTGAACTAAAAAGGGAACGTGGCGAAATACACACTATGTATTTTTCGCTGAACTTCCATGAGTCTGTTGCGCTAATATTTTACAGGTGATGTAATTTTTGTTTTCGAATTTTATTAAATCTGAAAAAAATCTCCAGTTAGACAGTCATATACGTATCATGAAAGATGCTGATTCACCCGTAGTGGACTAAAGAAACCCAGCTTAGTTGAACAAATATGCTGGTCTAAGGCCATCGTGCGATCATCTGAAGACTAAACAACTGTAAACATAACATTTCCTTGTAACTTTCAGAGCGGTACATTGTTTGCACCATGGGCGTATTCTGACGACAAGGACATGCTCCGTAAGCAGGCGTTTGACATAGGGGAGAAGGTTGGCTGTAGCACTGCAGAGAGCGAGGCTCTTGTGAATTGCCTGTTAGACAAGAACGCATCAGATCTCTACGTGGCATCAGATCCGGTAAAATGTGGCTTGGAAGAACCATTCGTTATCAGTGTGCCTCTTTTAGGCTATTAACACCTTGTGAATTGATAAAGTTGATATAAATGTCCAAATAAGTAACCTTTCTAATTTGTCTAATTTTCACTATCAAAATTATCACCCCTGAAAACGAAACTGTTTGGTGTGTGCAACATGTTCACAAGTGTGATTCACCATGCATCGAAATATTCTGTGATATCTAAGGGATTATTTAGTTATTAGATTATTTAGAGTTACGTGTACTCCAGTTACCGAAAAACACAAATTGAGTGTCACGTCAGCCGTAAAAAGACTTCGCCAGTTGGACATTATGTACGTTTTCTTCGACTCAGATCTTTGAAAGG